ATATATATATATATATATATATATATATATATATATTGCAATTTTTCTTGCATTCATACAAGCATGTTTTGTCTGAACATGAAGTGTTTAATAAATTGTTTAAAAACTGTCCAGTAATAAAAAAATGATGTTTGGAAAAAAAAAATCTACATATTCAATAATAAAATACATCCTTGATAATGGCTAATAAAATAGCTTAATGCGCTCAAAATGTTTGGAAATATGGGAAGTTTTTATACGCTTTATGCCCAGAAAAGCAAATAATTGTCACGAATACAAGATAAATGATTTAGTCTACTAGCAGTCATTCAAAAAAAAAAAAAAATTGTAATAAAGAGGTATTGCTGTCTAAATACACATATTTCTTGATTAGCTTTATATATTCATCTTTCTCAGACCGAAATATTTTAGTAAATGAACGTTTGCTAAAATATTTCGATCTTTATAGATGAACATATAAAGATACTAACAAAATGAATTATAACTGAGATGAATCTTTAAGGTTTTCTTTTTGAATATTATTATTATTATTTTCTTTGATTTCTGGCGTTTACACATTTTTTTCCGGGTCCCGCCCAGGGACCTAAGGTTAGAAATGGCATCATGACACTTTCCACTGACAAAAAAAAAAATTACATAGATAAAGCCCTTCGTAAGGTGTGGGCTGTACTTGTCAGAACAATTTTTTGTATATCCTTGAGGCATGGACGTCCACGAATCCCTTCAATTAGTCTACTGCAATCTTTTCCAAACAGTCCTAGGGCTCCAACTACAACAGGGATTATTGATGTTCCCATATGCCACATTTTCGAGATTTCTATTTCAATGTCATCGTATTTTGACAGCTTTTTGAATATCTTCAAAGATACATTGCAGTCCACAGGGACTGCCATATCAATAAGGAGGCACTGTTTTTGTTTGTGGTCTTTAATAACAATATCTGGCCGGTTTGCCTTGATTGTTCTGTCAGTGTGTATTGTGTAGCCCCATAGAATTGTAACAGGTCCTATCTCCGTAACCGGGTCTGGGTGGTGTTCATACCAGTTTCTTTCAGTTTCCTTTCCGTAGAAGTTGCAGATTTTTCAGTGCAGATATTGGCTCACTTTGTCATGCCGGGTTTTATATTCAGTGGGTGCCAACATCGTGCAACCTGATACAAGATGATCAATTGTTTCTGGATATTTATCACAGAATCTGCATTTTGGCCTGACACAATGTTTTAGCATATGTGCTTGATAATTCCTAGTTAGCAAGCATTGGTCCTGTGCAGCAAGGATAAAATCTTCAGTTTCCGCTTTCAACCCTGCACTACGTAACCACTGATGGGTACGGGTTTTGTCTACGTCAACTTGTTTGGTACGGGCAGAGTATTGGCCATGAAGCGGTTTATCTTGCCATCGCTTCTGTATCTGGTCGGTTGCATTCGTCTTTGCTGTCTTTTTAAAGTATTTTGCAGTTTCAGCCGGTGTATTGTGCTGTACTTGCATCTCTACGCCCATTTGAAACTCCATTTTGAATTTGTTGGCTTCTTTTATTACGGAGTAAAGACGCTTACTATTTTCATGTTCCTTGACGCATACCATCATCCAGTCTTCTGTAGTTTCCAAATATCTTTGGAGGCCAATTGTTGTAGTTTTGTAGGACAGTTCTAGTTGAACTAATCCTCCGCCTCCTTCGGATCTGGGTACATACAGGCTATCAACATCAGCATTGGGATGATGCATGCGGTAGCAAGTGAGAAGCTTTCTCGTTTTGGCGTCCATTCGCATAATTTCAGCTATGGTCCAGTTAAGGACATTAAAGCTGTATTGCACCATAGGGACAGCCAATGTGTTTATGGCTGACATCCTGTTTTTTGAGTTTAGCTCAGTATTTAGTACCAGACGTACACGCCTGTAGTACTTTTTTCTTATTTTTTCCTTCATTTGGGGGTGTTGTATGCCATCTCCTTCGCTAATTCCTAGGTACTTATAAGCTTCATCATGCTCCAGTTCCCTAATCTTTGTGACAAAATCTAAATCTATTAAGGGTTAGGTTTAGGGTTACCTTGCATGAATGTTACTTTTTCACATTTATCTAATCCGAAGTCCATACCTATGTCGTCACTGAAGTATTTTACAATATTGAGGAGGCCTTTCAACTCATTGTCGTCTTTGGCGAAGGGTTTGAGATCATCCATGTAGAGTAGGTGATTGAATATTTTCTTATTTATTTTGTAACCATAGCTACTGTTGTTCAGTTCATGCGTAAGAGGGATTAAGGCTAAACAAAACAGAAGGGGTGACAGAGAGTCTCCTTGAAAGATTCCACGTCGGATATTCAGACGGTTGGATATGGCAGTGCCCCTGGTGTGACTAAGGTATAGTTTGGTGTTCTACATTTCCATGCTGTGCTTAAGGAAATTCAATACCACAGGGGAGACTTTGTACATTTCCAAAGTCTTAAGGATCCAAGAATGTAGAACACTATCAAAGGCTTTACGATAATCAATCCACGCTGCGCTAAGATTTGTACGTCGTCTCCTGCAATTTTCCAGGATCATTTTATTATTATTATTATTCTCTGTAATCTACATTTAGCTCTCCCTAGATTAATATCCTCCCTGGAATTATCCCTGCCAGTCACAAATTGGTATATATATATATATATATATATATATATATATATATATATATATATATATATATATATATATATATAAAATGACAATTGGAAAAAAATCTTACATTTTGCCGACGCGTTTCGTCTTCCGACCTTTTCAAGGCAAAAATGATATCAAAATGTTTTTGTTGTTATAGTTACATTAAAAAATCCAAATTTAAAAAGGCAGACGCTTCTATCTAAGCCTTTTTTTCTGGTTAATGTAAATTACCTTTATAGTAAGGGATTTTTTTCCATGCCGACAATATAGTTAAATTCCCAGATCAATATATAGATATAGTTCAGATATAGATAGATAGATAGATAGATAGATAGATAATATATATATATAGATTGTTAATGACAAGTTTAGTAATCCGTATAGATAATCCCAAGGAGGATGCTTGCAACAGCATCATGATTTTCAAAGTGGATTGGAGCTACTTTAACATTAACAATACTTCTACAAGTACCCAGGTTCAATTAAATAACAACTGATAAATCTGACTATTTATTTTCAAAGTGCTTACCGTAGGGTCAGATGGTTTCCAGTCGACGCAGAAGACAGGAGACAGGCAAGAGTTACTGGCCTTCCATAAAATTAACTCTTCTGTAGTGTGGAATCGAGGAGGCAACACTCCAAAACTACGAAAAAGTATACAATGTATGCACATATGCTTAAACCATATAATGTAAATCTATTTAAACTCGGTGGGTGAAAAAATCTGGATAGCACAATTTTCAAATAAATTGGCATCAGAGGAAAAATGGAAAAAAAAAGAAAGCACCAGAAAGGTCCGAACAGAATGAAAAAAATCATCCAGTACCTTAAATCTTTGGTAGAAGAAAAAAATACCCATCTAGTAATAAGTTAAAACGAAGAGTGCTCAGTACACTAAGTAGGGCAAAAGTAAAATAAATAAATTCTAATAAGTCAGGTACTACCTAACTTAGTTTCACCCCATGGAATCATCATTCACCTTGATGATCCCATGGGGTGAAATGTCGATTGGTAGTACCTCCCTCATTAGATTTATTTCTTTTATATATATATATATATATATATATATATATATATATATATATATAAAGATTTGATAAATATAACAGAGAAGTTAACTTTTTCTTGTATTTTAAAAATTTTCGAAGAATACTTTGTATGCTGGAGTTAAAATTATGCATAAAACTTTCAAGGCTCATGTTTTTTTTTACGCTTCCAAGTGCTATCTATTATGTCAGTCCTTATAAAGAAGTGGGGGTTTTCAGTTTGTGTAAGAAAAAATTGTTGACGTTCTTAGATTTCTGAAATTATAATTGGAATTAGAATGAGAAAACAAAAAAAAAAAACTAGTAATTCGTGACTTTGTCACACTATGTCTCTATATCCATACTCTGTTTCCCCAGATTCTCAAAACATATCACCATTATACTCACAGTATTTCACCATTATTCTTATTTTGATTCGTGATATTTATGACATTCTCAAACTGTTTCAACATATTGCCAAAGTATTCTCACAATAATTTGTGATAGTCTCACATAATTTCATCATAAAATTACCACATTGTTTCCCAATATTCTTACAATGAAATTCTTAAACTATTTTACGATATTCTCACAGTTTGTCAAAATATTCACACAGTTTACTGACAGTGATGCATCATAATCTCACAGTGTTTCACCATATTTACACACTATGTCATCGATATTCTTACGATATTCCACCATATTCTCAATGTGTTTCACCATATTTACCCACTATGTCATCAATATTCTACCATATTCTCAATGAGTTTCACCATATTTACCCACTATATTCTATCATCAATATTCCACCATATTCTCAATGAGTTTCACCATATTTACCCACTATGTCATCAATATTCCAATTATATTCTCAATGAGTTTCACCATATTTACCCACTATGTCATCAATATTCCACCATATTCTCAATGAGTTTCACCATATTTACCCACAATATTCCACATCAATATTCCACCATATTCTCAATGAGTTTCACCATATTTACCCACTATGTCATCAATATTCCACCATATTCTCAATGAGTTTCACCATATTTACCCACTATGTCATCAATATTCCACCATATTCTCAATGAGTTTCACCATATTTACCCACTATGTCATCAATATTCCACCATATTCTCAATGTGTTTCAACATATTTACCGACTATGTCATCCATATTCCACCATATTCTCAATGAGTTTCACCATATTTACCGACTATGTCATCCATATTCCACCATATTCTCAATGTTTCACCATATTTCAACATATTTACCCATTCTCAATGAGTTTCACCATATTTACCCACTATGTCATCAATATTCCACCATATTCTCAATGAGTTTCACCATATTTACCCACTATGTCATCCATATTCCACCATATTCTCAATGTGTTTCAACATATTTACCCACTATGTCATCAATATTCTACCATATTCTCAATGAGTTTCACCATATTTACCGACTATGTCATCAATATTCCACCATATTCTCAATGTGTTTCACCATATTTACCCACTATGTCATCAATATTCCACCATATTCTCAATGAGTTTCACCATATTTACCCACTATGTCATCCATATTCCACCATATTCTCAATGTGTTTCAACATATTTACCCACTATGTCATCAATATTCCACCATATTCTCAATGAGTTTCACCATATTTACCCACTATGTCATCAATATTCCACCATATTCTCAATGTATTTCGCCATATTCTTGCCCTATGTCATCAATATTCTTACAATATTCCACTATATTATCACAGTGTTTCAATATATTCTCAGGGCGTTTCCCACTATCTCAAAGAATTTTTATATGATAAAATATTTTAAGACAATCTAGACGGTTTTATGCATCGTTTCAATTTTGTCTGAATGGACTGAAAAGTAAAATAAGTTTTTTTTTCAATTTTGTTGCAAAAGATAGATTACTCTTTCTTTCTACTAAGAAAAAATATTCTTCCGATATACTAAATGAGATTAAAAAGAATAGAATTAGGAGTTAAATTGAGAGACAACGTGTCGGCGTGAAATGAAACGTTGCTGCGACAAAAGACAAAGTCTGTAGAATGTAATCAGTTGGCGAAAAAGTTGAATTCGAATTGAGATAACGACCGAAAGCCGGACCAACAACATTTAGAGATCAAAAAACAAAAAAAAAAAAACAAAAAAAACATTAACAGACAAGAAGAAAAAGACACACTTTTACAATTAAATTATGAAACGTGACAGAAGTTGAAATAGAATCCAGATAAATAAATGAGACAAAGCAAGATGTGGAATAAAATGGGAAATGAAAAATTGAGAAGAAGAAGGAATGAAACTGAAATAATGAAGATGAAAATAAAGAAGTATATAAAAAGAAAGATAAGAATGAAATATAAAGATTTGAATAAAGAAGATATTTAAGAAGAAAACTAAGAAAGAAATAGAAAGGCAAAAATGAAGAATACAGATGTGATTAAAGAAACGAATAAAAAAGATGAGAATGAGAAAATGTATGAGAATGAAGGAGAGAGGAGATTGAAGAATACAAATATGAAAGAAGAAAAAGAAGAAAGTTAAAAAAGAACACAGTAATCTAAGAACAAGTGTGGAAAATGAAAAAAATAAACTTGGACAAGTGAATGAATGAGAAAGTTGTGGAATAAAGAAAAATCTTAAATTTATGAAGGAAATTAAGACAACGATAGCTCTGTATGAATAAAAAATGACAACTAAAAATGGATGAGAGATCTGAAGGAATTAAGTATATTATATGAAGACAAAATTTTCAGGAAAATGGGAAGCAATTATAATATTCAGGTCAGATGATTCTGTTGCATTATGTTCACTGTTGTTGACCTTGTTTTGACTGTTAAATGAAGGGGTTCACTATTAATACTTTTGGAGGAAAAACGAAATTACTATTTCGCACGGCAGCAAACGAGAGAAAGAAAGATCAAACAATCCTTCGAACGCTCCAACCGTAGAATAAAGAATGCCGTCGAGCAAAATTGAATGCTGTTTAATAGCAGCAATTGTAACAATTAAGTGAAAGAGATGGCGTTGTTCCCAGAGGGGTTAACGAGAAATTATAATGAGTTTATAGAAATAAATTTTGGGAAAATAAATGAACGTGTATGTACGGATGCCTAAGCGTGTATGTCGTATATATATAGGTGTGGAGACATATTTATATATGTGTATGAGTGTACATTTATGGATCAAGATAACTCACTTAGGAAATTTCGTTTTTGCGGTAGACGTAGGTGTTCGGGCAAGATCTTGGAACATACCGTCGGGTGTCTCTTCTGGAAAATAATGTTTCTTATGAAGATGTTGACTAAATGGAACTTCGTTCTAACCAATAACCAATTAATTCTTGTATTTCTACAAAAGTTACTTTAAAATAATGGCAGTCTTTTATTTTCCATACACTTTTAGGACGTTTTCATAGTTCTCCACAACATCCAGTGTGTCTTTGTTGCTCTAAGTAATTTTTAACTATTCACCCTATATCTGTGTCATTGTTCTATCTGTCTATCTACCCCAGTTTATCTATCTATCTATCTATCTATCTATCTATCTATCTATCTATCTATCTATGGCATTCCATAAAATTAACTCTTCTGGAGTGTGGAAGCGAGGAGGCGACACTCCAAAACTACGAAAATACGAAAAAAAGGAAATGCTTGCACATTGAATGAAATTAGCGTAGCAAGTGACAAAGTTATGTCGTTAATATAAGATTGTTAAGTCGATGTTTTTCGGGTCTCCTCTCCTTCATTACGCCCTGTGAGTGTTAAATTCTCTCGATATTCCTTCCTTATTATGTGTCCTAGAATTTTCAACTTCCTTTTCTGATTATAAATATCAGTTATCTTGTAGTTGCTATAGTCTTGAACTGGTTGATATTGTATAAATCGGGGGAGACATATTAGCGGCTCTTGAGAAGAACTTGACTAAATGGAACTTCGTTCTTACCAATCACTGATGTCTTTCTTGTTCCTCTACAAAATCTTTACCATGATAACAGTGCTCCTTTATTTTTCCTACCTTTTCAAGACGTGGGCGATTATAGCTCTCAACAGCATCCAGTTTTTTCTTGCTCTTAGTAACTTTTAACTCTTCACAATTCTTTTCTGTTTTTGTTCTACCGTCCGTTAATATAACGTCGTTAAGACTGTTACTTGATGTTCGTTCTGCTTCCCCCTCTCTTCATTATTGCCGGGGAAGGTTAAATTCTTTTATCCTTCTTATTCTTTTTCTGGTTATAAGCATCGGTTAACAAGTAGTTCCTATTTTTCTTAAAAACACATTTACGTTTGTTAGATAATGACAGATAGATAAACAAATAGAGATAGATAGATAGATAGATAGATAGATAGATAGATAGATAGATAGATAGATAGGGTCGGAAAGACAGATTATACTGGGATAGATAAATAAATAGATAGATACATAGACAAATTAATATACATGGATAGATAGATGGATAAATATACTAGGATAGATATATAGATAGATAATCAACATAATGAGATAGATAGATAGATAGATAGATAGATAGATAGATAGATAGATAGGGTCGGAAAGACAGATTATACTGGGATAGATAAATAAATAGATAGATACATAGACAAATTAATATACATGGAGAGATAGATGGATAAATATACTAGGATAGATATATAGATAGATAATCAACATAATGAGATAGATAGATAGATAGATAGATAGATAGATAGATAGATAGATAGATATCAACAGAATGAGATAGGTAGAGAGATAGCCAGATATATAGGAAGAAACTGGGAGAGATAGATAGATAGATAGATATCAACAGAATGAGATAGAGAGATAGATAGATAGATAGATAGATAGATATCAACAGAATGAGATAGATAGCCATATATATCGGAAGAAAATGGGAGAGATAGATAGATAGATAGATAGATAGATAGATAGATAGATAGATAGATAGATATACCATGATTGATATATAAATATACTGGGATAGATACATAGTTAAATATAGTGCGATAGATGGATGGATAAATAGTTAAAGACAGATATATAGATAGACAGGTAAATAATGATAGATATATAAAGATAGAAATAGATAATATGGCGTGATTGCTCGATGGTAATGCTTTCATCGGCGTGGCCCATGTAAATGAACGTGCTATTATCGATCACCGACCAGAATTATCAATATTCATGCTCAGTATGTGTAAAAACCTTTATGACAGTGAAAGATATGTCATCACTTTTGGATTTAAACGGCAGCAAATTGGTATGAATATCTGATTCTGTAGTTGTGGGGTTACCATTCTCTAGTATTTCTTAATCAACACAGATCGAACCATACAAGCAAATCGTCCAGATTTTATTATCAAAGAGAAAAAAAGGGAAATGCTTGCAGATAGAATAAAATTAGCGTAGCAAGTGACAACGACATCCCAGCAAAAGGTTTTCAAAAACTAAGCGAATACAAAGGTCTGGAGATGCAAATAGAAAACATTACGCGCTTACAAACTGAAACTGTTCTTGTTGTGACCGGAGCTTTGGGTTTGATAAAGAAACTCAACAACACATCAACAAAATCCCTAGTGCATCGCCTGTCCAGAAAACCACATAAATAGTTGTATCAAGCCCAGCCCATATCTTACGAAGGACATTGTCTATTAAAGTTTTTTGTTAATAGTTGTCTTTTCTTAATTAAGTGGAAACAACAAAAGTAACATTATTCGCTAATTCCCCTTGTATAATTCTCATTTTTTTCTAAAAAATTATAAGCAAAATTAGGGGTGTGTATTATGCACAGATACAAAAAAATTGCCGTTTAGGTCGATTTTAGTTGCGAAATGACTACATACCACAAACATACGACAATTTGTCACTGACATTCGGTGATTGCGACCGCATAAGGGTGTCAAATACAATTATATGCACTCAACAACACTTACAAATGTAAAATAAAATAAGAATTATCATAAAACTAAATTAGAATAATATTATTGTATGTTTAAAACCATTTTTTGTGAAAAACTATCAGGTCATCCCATAAGTTCTGTCCGAATTTTAACTCGTTAAAATGAACGAAATTTAAAGAGTATTTTATAATGTCTAATGGAGCTGAACATTATTTTTATGTTTAGATGCATTTAAACTGATCAAATTTTATTTCAGAGAACAATAAAATTAAATTTTGTTTGATTAAAACCCTGCTAACATGGAAGTACGCAAGAATCATTTGAGGCACATAATGCTTTATGAGTTCAAGAAAGGAAACTCAGCAACCGAAGCGGCTTGAAACATTCACTCAGAAGATGATTTGCAAAATTCAGAGGTGGAGATTTCACTCTTGAAGATGAAGATCGAACCGGACGTCCAGTTGAGTTTGATGAAAAGCTTCTTGAAGCAGCCCTTGAAGAAAATCCTGCTTTATCAGTTGAGGAATTGGCAGTGGTTCTCAGTTCAAACCATACAACTGTTCATCGTCATCTTCAACAACTTGAAAAATGGGTGCCTCATGAATTGTCTGAAAACAACCTCAAATCCCGAGTTGACATCTGCTCTTCTCTCCATTCTCGCCAATTTGTTTCACCTTTTTTCGATAGACTTGTGACTGGCGACGAAAAATGGATCTGTGGTTTGGTAAAAGGGAAGGACCCCAGCCACAGCTGAGAAGGGAACTTCATGCGCAAAATGTTCTTCTTTCAATCTGGCGGGACCGCCAAGGAATAATCCACTTTGAATTCTTACCACCTAATGCAACAATTAATGCTCAAATATACTGTCAGCAATTAGAGCGTTTGAACCAAGCTTTGAGGAAAAAAGACCTGCTCTAGTGAATCGAAATGGGGTGATGTTTCATCAGGACAATGCGCGACCCCACTCAGAAACTTGGTTTGGAGAAAATTCCTCATCCACCTTATTCTCCCGATCTTGCTTCTTCAGGCTTCCATTTGTTTCGTAGCTTACAGAATCATTTGGAAGAAACAGCTTTTGTAACAGAGGAAGAGGTTAAAACTGTCATTTTTGAGTTCTTTGAATCAAAGCCAAAATAATTTTATAGTAATGGAATTAGTAAGCTTGTTAATAGATGGAAGGAAGTCATAGAAAATCAGGGAAAATACATTGTTGATTGAATCTGTAATTAAATGTAACATTTGGTCACTTGTTTTCTTTATTCAAAATTCGGACAGAACTTATGGGATGACCTGATATATACAGATCCGGTAGATTTCACATTTTATCGAAAAGAAACAGGTTAATGAGTTTGCGCAGTAGGCACAATATAGGTATTTCCGTTTCCTTTTAGAAATCGTGATGATCGGAAATTTTGATAAATATCTTCAATTACAGCTTGAATAAGAACAGGAAGCGCTGTCTGTAATGTAATTGGAGAAGTACAATTTATAGGGTTTGATTATCAGACAAGGGATGCGTATTATGCGTGAGTAGAAGCATTTTCCAACACTTTCAGCACAATTTTAGGTGTGTGTATTATGGATGAAGGCGTATTATACATGGGTAATTATGGTAATTTGCTACGACCAGCCTTATGATTATAAAAATAAGCATGTGAAAAATAATTTTTATAATAATAATGATGATGATAAAAATCTGCATTTGAGTCTATTTAGGAAATATGCGCAAAGTTCTCAAAAAATGGTAGCGCCACAGGTCAGAGATGAACGAAACGACGATATCAAGATCTTGAGAGATTTCAACATTTCAAAACAGACTGTATACTTGAGGCAATAAAACAAGGCAACACCGCCGTTAAAAAAATAAAATGCTTCCTCATCAAATGTGACTTTCTCATATCAAGGTCAAAGAAAATGACAAGCTGACGAATTACACAGAACTCTGGATTTAATTTGCCAGAATATGGGACGTTTCGACCACTATTGATCAAGTTTCCATTAGGGGAGTGAGATTTTTTCCACTGAAAATAAAGTTCTTCATTAAGAAAATCAAAATAAAACCTGGTATTCCATTACTTGAAAAGTTGATGGAAAACAGTTATAAGGTAACTTTTCCAGTAAAAAAGAAAATCCTTCTAAATAATAATAATAATAACAATAATAATAAGAATAATGATGATTATAATAATAATGATAATAAAAATAAAAATAATAATAATGATGATAATAATAAAAATAATAATGATAATAATAATGATAAGAATAATAATGATAATAGTAATAAATAATAATACTAATAATGACGATAATAATAATAAAAATAATAATAATAATGATAATGACAGAGTCGGCCAATATCTGCACTGGAAAATTTGCAACTTCTAAGGGAAGGAAACTGAAAGAAAGTGGTATGAACACCACCCAGACCCGGTTACGAAGATAGGACCTGTTACAATTCTATGGGATTACACAATGCACACTGACAGAACAATCAAAGCCAACCGCCCAGATATTGTTATTAAAGACCACAAACAAAAACGGTGCCTCCTTATTGATATGGCAGTCCCTGCAGACTGCAATGTATCTTTGAAGATATTCAAAAAGCTGTCAAAATACGAGGACCTTGAAATAGAAATCTCGAAAATGTGGCATATGGGAACATCAACAATCCCTGTTGTAGTTGGAGCCCTAGGACTGGTTGGAAAAGATTGCAGTAGACTAATTGAAGGGATTCCTGGAAGTCCATGCCTCAAAGAGATACAAAAAATTGTTCTGACAAGTACAGCCCACACTTTACGAAGGGCTTTATCTATGTAATTTTTTCTGTCAATGGAAAGTGTCGTGATGCCATTTCTAACCTTAGGTCCCTGGGCGGGACCCGGAAAGAAATGTGTAAACGCTAGAAACCAAAGAAAATAAATAATAATAATAATAATAATAATAAAAGAAATGATGATAATAATAATAAAAAATAATAATAATAATGATGATGATAATAATGATGATAATAAAAATAATAAAATAATAATAATAAAAATGATAATAATAATGATAATAATAAAAATGATAATAATAATAATAATATGTAGCAGTTAGAAAGGTGAGGGGTTTGCAATATTTGCCTAGTAGATAACACCCTGTCCCTCTCTTATCTTAATTTGAATATAATAAATGAACAAATCTTTTTGTATACTATTGTTCTTCCAATACAAGGCCCAAGAGCCACTTAAGATACATGTCTACTGAATGTTGTAAACTCGGAAAGAGAGGGAATAAAATTATAAGGACGGGTAGTATAGATAACAGTTGATCCTAAACTTGAAGAAATCATAGAGATCAGACGAAGAATCCTTTCAGGAAGCCGTTCCATAAAGTCAGAAAGAAGGTGTCTGAATGGAACTTCCTACTAATCAATGGAATACGAAGGGAATGAGTCTGATTTGACCTTGTATACGTGGCATGGATAGTTTTAGTTGTGAAGGTCTGGATTGATGGAACTAAGGAATGGAGCACGTCTGAACATTTTCCCTAAAAACGGCGATAGAACAGCGAAAGGCTAGCAACATTTCGTCTGTGGGGAAAAGGGTTTATAATGACGAAAATCAGTCATCCCTAACAAGGCAAGGTGAACCCCCCAAAAAAAAAAAAAATACATGAAATTCTATATTGAACAGCTCCGATTCAGATATGGCAGCACTATTCTACGTTTTTGCTCTGATTTGACTTTTGTAAAAATGAAGCGCAACAGAAGGTGCTTTCTGGAAAGTTAAAAAAAAAATCTTTTTTCAGCATTTTTAGCGATGGACCCTATATACGAGTTTCACTTGAATGAAAATCAAAAAAAAAACAAAAAAACAAAAAAACAAAACCGTAAGGAAAAAAAGAAATAAATCTGGCCGGGTGTCCCTACTGTGCATGGCGAGATTATTGAAACAATCCAGAGAAGGGTCTGCAATGCAATCGATCCTGACCAGGAATTTCATCTCGAATCCCTTACCCACCGACGTAACGTGGCTTCTCTCGGTCTATTCTACAAATATTATCATGACAACAGCTTCTTGCACTTCCCATCTGTGGAACCTCCTTCCGATTTCACTTCCTACCTGTGGAACTCCCTTCCGATTTCTCTTCCCATTTGTGGAACTCCCATCCGATTTCTTGCTTCCCTGATAACTACAATCTTCAAATACTTAAATGCAACGTCAATCGCCATCTTCTGTCTTCTTGAACTCCGTTCCTTTTTTGTCCTTTCCTCAATCCTCCCCATTTTCAATCTTCTCATTATCTTTCAATTTCACACCCTGGTCACCCCCACCCGCGCGGCGTCCTAGTGGCATTGTCGTCTTGCTTGGGGTGAAACGATTAAAAAAGTATGGAAGTAAGGGACGAAAGAAGACAAGTGAGAAAAAAGAAGAGCAGAAAGGTCAACAGTAAAGAAAAAGAAAGAAGATGAAAATTAAGAAGGAAATAAAGCTGGGGAGGAGAAAGGAAAGGAAGACGTTGGAAATAATGTCAGTTTTAAAGAAAGAAAGAAAGAAAAAAAGAAAGAAAGAAAGAAAGAAAGAAAAAGATAAGAAAATAAGAACGGAAGGAAAGAAATCCCACAGAAGAGATTTTGAGCTTGAGTAGTGTGTCTTCCAAATAATTTCTATGCAATCACAATGACGGCAGCTGATCTATTAATTTTAAGGACTGAGTAACCTCTAGCCAGAAAAGATAACGACCTATCCTTAAATGACAGATTTGAATTAAAGCGGGAAGATCGCTGATTGGCTGCAGGTTAAACAAGCTGGAATGATTGGTATTAAGTCTATGATATTGTGTCTTTGACGCAAATGCAGAGAGGATTATTGGAGAAATGCCAAAGACCTGGTGATATCTGAGATTCCAAGAGGTCTAATAACGAACTGAGGTCGTTCATACAATTGCGACTGAGAAAAGGCAGAATGAAAAAAAAAATAATGGTATAAATGCATACAAACTACCCCCGCATTTATATGTACAGTGACAGGTAAAACTATTGGACTTATGGTATAATAATATTATATTAATTATATTAATTTTAATAATATTAATAATATTAATATTAATAATATTAATAATACTAACCGTTACTTTACAAGGAAACATCCAGTAGTCATTGACGATCAGCCCATGCTATCGCTGAATGAAATTTATATCTTTAATTTAAGACATTTTTTTTTAGGAAAATAGGCTTCTTAAAGGAAGGTAGGGAGTAAGTAAAGAAAGAAGAATGGAAGGGAGAAAAGAAGGAAGGAAGGATTGAAGGAAGGAAGGAAGGGAAGAAGAAGAAACGAAATAAAGAAGGAAGAAAAGATGGCGGTAGGGAAGGAAATGAGAAAAACAATAATGGTCTCTTTGCTTAGCTTCTTAACGTCTAACTCATAACGAAGTAGCCAGTTATGTTGTTATTAACATAGTCTGACACAAGGCCACATATATCCTGTACTCTGTGTGAGTCGGTATCAATAAGAAAATTAATGGTCTGTTTGTTTAAATTGTTAACGTCTAGCAATCAATGTTGTAGGTGGCTTTGTTGAAATTGACTTAACTTAGTCTGACACAAGGCCACTTGTATCAAACACTTGGTAGGTTAGTTTACCAGCATCTATCTCTCAACGAGATAGCCAATTCTGTTGATATTGGCTGCGCATATCTTAGTCTGGCGCCAGGCCAAATGTATCGAGCACTCGGTACGACTTAATATCAGTAGAACAATAATAATTATTTTGTTTAGGTTGCCAAAGTCAACATTTCAAGAAGGAACCCGACTTTGTTGATACTGGGTTAGCGGTGCTTAGTCCAACAAAAGGCCAGATGGATCGAGAACTCGGTGAGACTCGATATCTGTAACAAAAATAATGGACTGTTTGTTTAGCTTGTCAACGTCTAGCACTCAACGAGGTAGCTGGCTCTGTTGATATTTGCTTGGATTAGTCTGACACAAGGTCACATGTATCGAGCATTCGGTGAGACACGATATCTGTAAAAATATAATGGTCTGTTTGCTTAGCTTGTTACCGTTTAGCTCTCGACGATGTAGTATGTTTGCTTAACTTAAGTCTATCTCCCGACGAGGTTCACGATTCTGTTGATATTGGCTGCGTATGTCTTAGTCTGACACCAGGTCACAAGTATGGAGCACTCGATGAGACTCTGTGTCAGTAGAACTATAATAGACTTTTTGTTTAGCTTGTTAAAGTCATCATTTCAGTGGGGTACTCAACTCTGTTAATATTGGCTTTGTTTTGTAAAGTCTGACACAAGTCCAAATTATAGAGCACTCAGTGAGCATTGAAATTATTAACTATTAATCCTCAACTAAGTTATCTACTTAGACATAGCACTATGGTGCGTTATTTCTCTGTGATTTTTTATCGGTACAAGAATGTAAATGTCTGGTGTGTTTGTGCATTGTTTTTATTTTAATAAGTGTTACAACCAGAAATATACAGCTAAAGCCAGACAGTCGATATAGGCCATTATTTAGCCTAATCTGAATTGAAGATAAATAAAATGTACAAAAAATGAAAAAGAAACAAATCATTAAGCTATTATAGTTTCTACACGTTAAACATGGTTTAGTTCTGCATGAAAAAAAAAGTCATAAAACATAGTGTTGATTATGAAGTCTGGAAATGCTTTGCATTTATGTTTTCTTTAAAATGTTTTTCTTCTCTGATGAACTGAAGGAACTTCATTACTTCAGTCTACAGAAAATATCCATTATCAATATTATAGAGATCTAGTCTTGGACAGAAGTTCACGTATAACAGTCTAGGTGGGAATTATAAAGCTTCTAGTGCCAAATTATCTTCGACTTAGAATAGTAACTCGTTGCGGAATACAGGACCTGTTATTTGGTCGGTTTTAAATATAAACAACTTGTAATAAGAATTTGAATAAAGGTTTTATATGTAGTACAAACAAATTATTGCAAACAAAAAGTGAGGCTCATAAGTTCACATCAAGTGAAATGAACTCATCAATAAACCTGTTTTTTTTTAATCAATTCACCCCAAGCAAGGTTTTAATGCCGCTAAGACGCAAGGTGATACAGGAAATGAAAGGAAACCAGACATCGTAAAAGAATAAAAATTTCGGAGACAAAGTAGAATTTAGAAATAATCGGAAACCTAATCCTAAACTGGAAACAAGGGATAAACCCTCTATTCTTGTTCAAAATGATTAATTCGTTTTCTAACTATTGAAGGTTATTTAAAAGCGGAAAATATTTTTAGATTTTAATACATTTTCGGGGGAGTTAATAATGATTTAATAATACAAATTTTACTAGTTAAACCATAGCTTGGGCGGTGGAGGGAGAAAAGGTGGATCCATACCTTTACCAAGGGTATTTGCGCGTAAATGAATATAAAAAAAACCTAAATGAAAATGGAACTTGGCTCTCGGATTGACAATTCCAAACCATTATTTATTACACCAACCGCACATCCAAGATTGAAGCTCAGTAAGGAAACTGGTTTACATTCATTAGGGGTTTTATTATTATTATTATTGTTTTTTTGTTTTTTTAATCCTAAACTCTGAGTCAATACACTCTCCATGAGGTTTTCTTATTAACACTTTAACTCATTATTATTACAGATCTTTTTTTTTCATCCCAAACTTCTGGCTCGATACACTCGTCATTATTTTTATTACGTTTATTAATAGTTTTACTTTATTTTATTATTGGTTTTTATCATCTCATATTCTTTTCATCATGATAATTATTTCATTATTGGTGTTATTCCATCTTATTAATGCTGTCCTGGGTAAGACGATAAACTACGTCCAACAGCAAGGCCTATGATTAGGAGGTTTTGAGAAGCATGGAACCACCTCTTAATTTCTGGTGTTCACAGGTCCACCCTGACCCGGGGTGGTAGCACCTGTTAGGGTCCCAGCTATGGGCAAATAGTTAACCCCAAAATTGGGGTCAAAACACTATGAAAGTGTAAAAATAGGTTTTAATACCAGAAATAATTTGTAAAAAATTATTACCAGCAATACATTTTTTTGAAAAACCCCCCAAAAAAAAACAAAAAAAACAAAACAAACCATTACCAGCTATACATTTTTGAACAAAATATTACCAGCTACACATTTTTTTAAAAAAATTACCAACGAAGGAAAATTATTACTAGAAATAGATTTTTGAAGGAAAATATATTAACAGAAATAGAATTTTGAAAAAAAATATTATCAACAATGAAAATTTTGTCGGCATTAAATAACCCATTGAGTTTGATATGCCGTAAACCAAACCAAACCAAACCAAACCATATTATTAATGCTTCTCCCAACGCTCTGTGTTGATAAACTCTTCATCAAACCATATAATAATTATCAATGTGTATTTATATATTTCCTGTCCCTTCTAATGAGACAAACTGGTATGGCGTAGACACAGTCCTTTATCAATTTCTCCTGAATGGGAGGTCTTATTCGGAAGAGGTGTCTGCGAGGTTTTGAACTATTTTAAAGGGAATCCTCATGTTATATTTTCCGATAATCCCTTCACATTGGGTGGATAAAAGCGTTGGTTGAAACCAGTGACCTGACCCAAAATGATGTGAGTTCAATACTTAGCTAAAGCTGAGGTGAACAAATACTTGGTCAGTTAAGTTAAAAGGAAATAACTGATACTGAGACAATCTACCCTGGTGAACGAAATAAAGGGTTCGAATCGAAATTCCAATCACCAAAAGAAGGCCTGTGCATACAACAGCCGAAACTTTGTGAATATGGCAACAAAGATGAGGACAACCGTCGAAGCAATCAACGAAAGTTAGTTCTCTTCTTCATGCCAGAAGTTTTTTCTCGTCTGAGTCCATCCTTCAAATCTACAAAAATACCTGCTGTTCATCTCGAAGTTCTCAACAAAATCCAAAGATAGATATGCAATGTGATAGGTCCTGATCTGGCATCTCGACTCAGTCATTTTCTCACAGACGTGATGTGGCTCCCCTCTGCCTTTTCTATAAATATCTTCATGGCCAATGCTCTGACAGGCTATTTTCCCTGGTACCATAACTGCATGAATTTAAGCGTTGGCATCTCGGTCCCACCGTTTCATTGTCGAAACAGTTAAATGTTACCGCCTCTTCTACTCCAACAGCTTCTTCTCTCACACTTCCCCACTGTGGAAATACCTACCTATTACTTGCTTCCCTGGTAGCTATAATCTTCAAATATTCCAATGTAATGTCAATCGGCATCTTCTGGTGCCTTGATCTTGATCCCCATCCGTCTCTTCATCCTTTCCTCAAACACCCCTCTTTACTCTTGCTCTATTTGATCCCTTACGTGATAGTGGCACTCCCATTTTGCTTGGGGTGAAATGCTTAATAAAAGAAATAATTTCAATGTGCATGTTACATAAAACAATATAATTATTATTTCAATATTTATGTTACATATGACGTTTTTTAATTATTATATACGTATTTATGTTACATTTTGTTTTAAGCATTTCACCCCAAGCAAGGCGGGGGTCCCACTAGCATGCAAGGGGGTTACAGAGAATGAGAATAAGAGTAAAGAGAAGTGTTTGAGGAAAGGATAAAGAGGAGGACGGGTATCAGGATCAAGGAATTATAATATATTATTATTTTAAAATTTATTTATGTCGTTCAAATAAAAATTTAAGAAAATACATCATTTTAGAAATAAAACTTAAATCTCCATTTTCAATGAAATTATTTAAAAAAAAATATTTGCCAAAGCGAAGTCTCCCTTTTAAATGTAATGTCAATCGGCATCTTTTGATGCCTTGCTCTTGATCCCCGTCCTTCCCTTCATCCTTTCCTGTAACACCCATCTTTACGTTTACCCTTTCTCTCTCTGTAAGCTTTGGCATGCTTGCGGCACTTCCGTCTTGCTTGGGGTGAAATGCTTAAAATAAGTAAATAAATAATAAGTATCAATGTGCATTTATTTATTTCCTGTCCCGTCTTTTAAGACAAACCGAAAAAAAAGCTTTATAGTGAACAGTGCTTAACATTGTGAATATATATTGTATATTTTTTGTGTCTATACTGGATAGATATTGTATAAATGATCTTCCTTTTTGTAAATCTATTTGGAAAGAAGAGTTTCGGGCATTAGAAAAAAGTTTCATTGTAAAAATACATTTTTGCACTATATATGAGGTATTCTAGCGGGTGCCGACTATTACGATGTTAATATAAAAAAAATAAGCCGTTATTTTTGACAGCACCTGTACATTAGTTACTAATTTTATTTTATTATCTGTTTAACAATCTATTATTATCGCTAGTAGAATGTCCGAACATGATCAGTCTTCTGATTTCATCACTGAACAAATGCTACGAGACTTGAACTTTTAGAACGAACTACAGGCTGTCATTTATTTCTTTTTTTTCAAAAGAATTACCTTGTAGGGATGTAAGAGTCGATTATCTCCCTTATAATACTTGGTTAAGATGAAATCATGTGTGTCAGGTGACAACCGCTTAGAGACGAAAGTGGTCAGCAGTCAGTCAGATTCCAGCAGTTGCTTTTTTAAGCACGCGGCGAGACGTTGCCTCGCCAGGACCATCTGCCACGTGAGGCAGCTCACAAGCCCATGACACCTTTTTTTCCGTTGGAAAATGATATCCTCACTAAAAACAAAGAAAATGATAAATTCGCCCCGCTCGAATTATATAAAGTATACCCCCGTCGCGCAGTCCTTGTGTTGGGAAATACTCATAATTCGCCGTTTTTAATTTTGTGAATCTGGTTGGATAATGTTAAACATTGGACAGGTATGGCTGTACCAGAATTGTTAATGGGTGCCGTTCATAGACCGTTGTGAAAAGAGTTAGTGTGGCTTACAGTAGTCAAGGGGATGATGATGATGATGATGATGATAGAAGAATCTTCTAGCAGCTCGAATTCAAGTTTGGAATTAATACAAATAAGACCCTATCTCACTTTTACATGTTCATATTGTTGGTTGTTGCATACAATTGTTATAGTTTGTCTGTGTGGGATGTGTAAATATGTTCATATAATTTTCTGTGTAGTTTAGCGGTATTAAGCTTTCTCTGAGAACAAGGCAGGTTTGTCAATCTTTTCTCATACCTTTTATTTCAGCTACTCTTTCCGTCTGTGCATTAAGGCTTTATTATAATATGGATATAACGATGCACATAATGGGGGAAAGACACTGAATATTCTTTCTTCTAGAGCTCACCCATTAGCCTTAACTCCTTCTGGCACAAGCTTTACTGATTATTTTTTGTGCTTTTCTTTTTGCGTCCTTTCGCATCATATTTTTTCCTTATTATATATTTGATTTGATTTGATTAAAAATATGTTGCAACATATCTTTCTTCTAGCTTTTCTACAAATATTTTCTTCAATTATTGTAACGAACTTTTCACCTTGGTGTCTTGATTGCATGAAGTTAAGTGTACTACTAGACAACTAGGTCTCACCGTTTTACTGATTAATTCGCTAGATACAACCGTACGTTCTACTCTCTTGTCGTACTTTTCGTCTGTGGAACTTTCTTCCGATTTCTTGCTTCCCTGTCAACTACAATTTTCAAAAGTTTAAATAAAAAGCCAATCGTCATCTTCAGTCTTTTCTTTTATTGGCCTTCCTCCTCACTAAAGTCTTCCCATTCTCTTTCACTCCCAATAACCGTTTGTGTTTTAGTGGCTTTATCGCCTTGAATAGGATGAAATGATTAGAAAAAAAAGACTTGAACGTTATAATACATGCCATTGCTCAATGCTAGAATTGTTTAGAAATTGGATTTTGGATCTTTTATCTAAGGTTTTCCCTGCAAAGGGCTTCTCGGATTCAAAGTTTCAATTATTTTGCTTTTTATCTGTGGTTCCTCTTGAACATTTCTGAACAATTTTTAAATTTTGCCTTTCTTTCCTTTACAGTTTTTTCTTTGTACTTATAAAATCATTCATTTTTATATATTTCTACGTTACTCCGATTTGCCATTAAACTTTTATCAGTGTTCTGCCATTAAATATTTTATCCTGTCATTTAATTCGTTACTCTTTGATTCCTATCATTTCTTTTGGCTTCAGTTATGTTCCTTTTCTTTTTTTTACTTTTTTTTTCACGTTTTTTTTCTTTTTTTTTTCTTTCTTTCTTTTCTTTTACGTTTATCTTTCTTTTACATATACTCTTCTTTTTTTTTTTTCTTTTTCCAGATTTCATTTTCTAGTTTTTCATCTTTATCTGATTTTTTTTTTTTTATTGCCTTTTTTACTTTTATCTTTGTATTTATTTTCGTCCTTTTTTTTTTTTCGAAGTTTAGCATTTTTCAATTCTTTTCTTTCTTTTTTCTTTCTTTTTCTTTGCACATTTAAAATTTCTTCCTGTTTTCATATATTATATCCCTTTTTTTTATTTTCGTCCTTTTTTATTCTTTTCTTTTTTCTTTCTTTTCTTTTTCACATTTAAAACTTCCTGTAGAAATTATATCCCCGTTTTCATTTCTTTTTCTTTCTTTTTTTATTTTTTTTTTTGCTTTTCTTTTTCATTTCTTTCTTTTATTTTCTTTTCTTTTCTTTTCTTTACGTTTATCTGCTGCCATCTTTCTTTCTTTCTTTCTTTCTTTCTTTCTTTCTTTCTTTCTTTGCACATTTAAAACTTCCTGTACAAATTATATCCCCGTTTGCATTTCTTTCTTTCTTTTTTCTTTCTTTCTTTTCTTTCTTTCTTTCTTTCTTTCTTTTACGTTTATCTGCTGCCATCTTTCTTTCTTTCTTTCTTTCTTTTACGTTTATCTGCTGCCATCTTTCTTTCTTTCTTTCTTTCTTTCTTTCTTTCGGTTTTTCACGCCTTTCTGTTCTTTCTTTCTTTTATTTCCGGCATTTCTTCACCCTTTTGTGCAAATGTCTCACGTGTTTTCACGCTGATGCACCATTGTAGACAAATAACAAAGGCATTAGACGTAAATGTTATCTTTCTGCTATTTTGATCGCACGCCATTCATTGACATCGAAACTAAGAGGTCAGCGCCGTTTGTCGCTGCAGGGTTAGGTTTTTATACAGACGTTAAGTTGGACATGGCGCCTGACGTGGGGAGGGTCTAACTTAAAACGATTGAAGGGAAGGGAAGTTTTAGCACCAACTTGTTGATAATTGAGTTGTCAGCGAAGCGAGCCCAAGAGATAAAGCTTAAAAAAAGAAAGAAAAAGATGAGCCTCTGAAGAGAATAATTTTAAGGAAAGTTTGTGGATTGTCTGATGAAGAGTCGCCCTCATTCGCTGATTTGCGCAAACTTGAGAACCCTAAAATAACGAACTCGATTACAGGAAAGAGCAACAAGGGTCTCTTTGTTAACCGGTTTATTTGTTTTTCAATTTCAATTATCTGCTAAAAATTAACCAAAATTAGAGCCGCTACTGTTTCTTTACCATTTATTTATGCGAAACAGCAGAAGAGGTGGAATAAACTCCTATGCGAATGTTTCCCCGAACGGTGCAGCCATAACCTTTTGAAACGTCAATCTTTAGCTAGCTCCAATATCCTCATAATCCTAACATCCTCATTCAATAATCGTTTAAGCTATGTGCCGGTTTGTCCTTGTACTGATTCAATATTAGTAAAAAAATATGAAATAAACTATGGATTGTATCACCTTCATTGTATTTCACATAGTTAATACTGAAATGCAATGTCAATCGTTATCTACTGTCTTCGTGATCACATATCTATAATTCTTAATAATATCTAATATTTCTCCTTTCTAATTCTTTCACACCCAGTAAGCGTTTGTGTCCTAGTGGCTTTACAGTTTTGCTTGTGGCAAATTCGATATATATATATATATATATATATATATATATATATATATATATATATATATATATATATAGTAGATGGTAACAAATCCGTTGGTATGAAATCCAACTGGATCCTAGTAATAAAAATATTAAAAGCTATCCACAAAAAGTATTCAATGTATTTATTATTACAGAGCAAATAATTAATAAGCAATAAAATACAAAATCACCTCATATGGGGAATAGTAGCCTATTTCGGCAGTCGTAGATATCGGTCGTCTGTCTCATCACCCCGGCGTGGACTGAGTTCGTGTCGTGTTTTCTGACACAAACTCAGTTCACGCCAGAGTTGATGAGACACGACCGGTGTTTTCGTCTGCCAAAATAGGCTAGTCTCCATCTGAGGTGATTTTGATCTTATTGATTATATATATATATATATATATATATATATATATATATATATATATATATATATATATATGACGCCATTTCTAGTGTGCTATATTATATAAACTTTTTAAAACGACTACGAATATTATAAGCATTAATCATAAAAGATAGAAAACTCAACACCAATAAAATACCAAATATAGAAACAATCATAGTAAATTAATGAACAAGAAAACGAATAAAGGGAGAATGACATGATATTTGAAAGTGATGAATCGACATAACCCGAAAAATTAAAAGTTTTTGATAATTTTTAACAATATCCGAAAGTATTCAGACATTGGACAATTCATTTCTAAAAATGTCTTAGAAAATCACCTAAAAAAAAGCAACTTATTCAAAATATACGAAAAAAATACCCTAAACAAAGAGCTGTCATGGATCATTAACCAAACTTAATAATCAAATACCAATACGTAAGTAATCGATAATATATATATATATATATATATATATATATATATATATATATATATATAATGGAGGACACTCTCGTCGTATTCGAGGTATGAGGGTCAAGCAGCACAGTTCCTAGGAACCGACAGCCCAGACGCAAGCATATATGATTTGCGTATAGTGGTGAAGGCTTTGTGCAGAACTAACCACATGTTTGAAGGGCCGAATACAGAAGCATGGTGCACTGCATGCCACAGGATCCCCAAACGACCCTTTGCAGGTTTTGAATTAAGAATTGTCCTTCTCCTAGACCAGTTACCACCCAAGGCTATAGAACCCATTCTGTCTTGCTATTTACCCATAGCTGGGGGAAAAGAAGAGGATTAATACATTTTCCAAGGGTATTAGCACGTAAGTGAATGTAATGGTTTCGACTGAGGTCGAACTCAGGTCTGTAATTCAGCAATTGATATATATATATATATATATATATATATATATATATATATATATATTTGAAAAAATTTGGAAAAAAAAACAAAAAATCGTTTGTTTTTTCGACAATTTAAAATGAAGTTCAATTTGACAAAGACGATGGACATAAAAACAACAAGTACATCTTTGTCAAATTGAACTGAATTGTATTTTAATGAATATTGTCTTGAAAAAGGTTTGTTAAACCGAAACGTCAGACGTCGACATTTCATTCATTTTAAACAACATAATTGCATTTAAGGATTTTTGTTTGTTTTTTCCAAATTTTTCTCCATTCTGTCGGATCTATATCCATTTACATTTGCCTACATATATATATATATATATATATATATATATATATGTTGATGCATGTTTCATTAAATAATACAGGCAAGTTGAGTCTATTTATTTTAAGTAAGTTCTTTTTATATTGTCTGATAACCTTAATAACATTATCATTGAAAGATGGAAGGAAATCACCATATTGATAAATGTTTTAATCTTATCTAAGCTTTTAGCTTACATAAGCCATTAACAAAGATGACAATTACATTTCAATATATCAAACAATACACAGACGAAACAATAATGATAGTCTGTTTTTGTTGCATGAAAAATTTCAAAGCAACGACAAGCTCGTGTATAAGAGACGCGGAAGCGAAAATCGCATCGCAGCTCGTGATGCCACACAAGACCAAGCGAGAATGAAAACGAGAAGTATTAAGTATGGGAAGCCGTTGGTATAAATCAGTTGATGGTATAATTGATAACAGAAGCCATTGGAAAAGAGGTAGCGTATCAGACTCAATATAGCGCCGATCGATCACATATTCCGTGGTGGATCTCATCCGAGTTTCTCTTTTACCCATAGGACTGTGTCCCCACGAACCACGACTACTATCCCCAAGCCGCTCCATCCAGAGCACTAGAAGCCGGTTCAAGCAAGGATATACACGTGATAGAAATTAGGAGGATTAATATATAGTCTTTGTCTTAACAATTAAAGATCATTAATGATTCAAATATGGTAATTCCAATTTTGAATAAGTTAGGGACAGATTTTTCGTAATGAAACATCGCTATGATGATCAAGAACTTCGAACTATTAGGCTTCTACCTATCTTTGGCAAAGAACTAGCGGCTCTAATCAACTCCGAATTGGTTAAGCATTAAGATTTGCGGGCTCGGACTGTTATCTTAAATATTTCGAATGTGTTTTACAGGTTTTGGCATGCTGGTCTTCTTAACAAGTTGAAGGGTTATTGCGTTCCAGGTCGTTTCTTTGATTTGATTCAATATTTCTTATCAAAACCTGTAATGAATGTTGTCTTGAACGGCCATTCTTCGACCATTTTCTATTAACGCGGCATCCCCTTGGGGGGTCTACATTTGGACCAAACCTGTTCTTTATTTTCATTATGCCGTCAGTTCTCGACTCAGTGTGGAGTAATGGATAGCGGCTTGGACCGAGGAATCGGAGATCCGTGTTCGATTTCCAGTCGAATCCATTACATTCACTTACGTGCTAATACCCTTGGGAAATGTATGAATCCTCTTCTTCTCCCCTCAGCTATGGGTAAATAGCAGGACAGACCGGGTTCTATAGCCTTGGATGGCAACTTATCTATCGCAGTAAAAAAATGTCAACCTACTGGGGGAAAAAATCTGCCTCGTCAGTTATGTATCAAAAGATACATGATCGCCTACGCGTGTATCAAGCATAGCACATAACTGACTGACTGATCTAAACGGATGACACAAGTATGTACTCTTTAATTAAAAGTAAGTCTGAAAGTTTCTATAAAATTAAATTGTCACTTGATCTTGAAAATGACCTACAATCTGTAGTGTAATAGGGGCAAGAAATGGCATGTTAATTTTAACGTCTCTAATACGAAACTGATCTATATTAATCATTTTAATCAATCTTTTTTTTGCCTTGCTTCAGTATGGCTGATTCTAGCCTCCAGGAAAGCAACTCTCTGTACCTTCTTTCTCAAGTTATTACATTTTGGAACGCCATCTTGTAGTTGTTAGTAGAAGTTCTTAGGCAGACAAGTGGGGTAATTCTTGCATGATATTAAAGTGGTGTTACGTTATTAGTATTAAATATTTGGTTAATCTGAATTTTCAGTAAATTGTATTTTAAAATTAAAAAGTATGAGCAGAAATTATGGAAAAGTTAGAATTCGTTATGTGATTTAGATATTGGGGACATCAAAATCTGTTCTGTACAGAAATCTAAATATTTGGAGAGAGTAGAAAGAGACGACATGTTACAGAATGCGAAGGCTGCTTCTGGATAATAAACTACTGGACAAAAAAACCCTGTGGGTGTTGAATACTGCCAATTATGAACCCCCTTTGTCTATGTTTTGGATATAGAGCCAAATAAAGAGAGTAGAGTGTCACAAAAATTTGGAAAAGTCAAGACGCCTCCCACACCCGGATTCCTTAGTGAGGCTAGCCCGCGTGTGGAGAAATGCTATCTCAGCGAATGAATTGCTGGAAAATCTCCACTCAAGTGAAGAAGAGACTTGAACAAACAGAAATGTAGTTCTACCGTCAAATTCTAATACAACGAAGAACTAGAATGGACCCTATACTTTCCAGCAGAAAAAAAGAGTAGCAAATTCTGTGACACAAAATGAAGAAAGCGAGTTTGGAGAATATAACACTCAGAGGATGTACTGAAGGCAAGAGGGACATAAAGCAAATAATTAAACCAACCGTATATATTATTCTTCTTTTTCTATGGGCAATGTCCCTTCATTATGTGGGTGATCTCA